TTCTAAAATGGAGGAATCAGAACCAGAACCCCCTCCAGTGTGAAGCATCCCGGGGAGTTAATAAAACAAGTCACCTCCCTGACCTCACCTCCTGCACCTTATCCTCCCACCTTTGTGCCAGCCACACTGAGCTCCTCACTCATTCCCAGATACAGCAAATGCAGTCCAGCCTCAGGGCCTTTGCTTCGGCTCTGTTTTCTGCCTGGAACGCTCTACCCCCAATCTTTGCATGATTGAGTTCAGAGCTCTGTTCAGATGTCAGCCTGTCCCTGACAATCTGAACCTGCATATATAGCAGGCCTCAGGTCCCTTCTTGGCTTGACTGGTCCCTTTGCCCTCGGTCGCTATCAGACACACCGTGTAGTTTACCAGTTTATTGGCCTTCCCCATTAGAACAGGAGTCCCATGAGGGCTTACAGTTTCTTGTCCACTTATTTATTGCTGGGTAGATATACCTAGTATATAGTAGGTGCCCAGTAAGACTTTATCACATGAATGAATGTGAAAAATATTATTTTAGACAGATCAGGGTTGGGGGGAAGATGGAGATGAAGAGGGCATATGAGAGCTAGTTAAAGAAGCTAATTGGGACTGTTCATTCAGCAAACACTTAGCACCTACTGAATACCAGGCACTCTTCTAGGTGTTGGGGATATGGCAGGGAACAGAACAGGCAGAAATTCCTGTCCTTGTGGAGCAGACGTTTGCTAAAAGTAGGGGAGATGGACTATATAAATAAAACAGTAAGTAAAATTAGATAGTATGTTAGACAGGCGCTAAGGGGGAAAATGAAGTAGGGAAGACAGGGAGAGAATATGGGGGTGGTTGAAATCTTAGGCACCGTGCAGGCCTCCTTTAGAAGGTGACTCTTGAATTAAGGCCTGAAGGAGATCAGGGAGGAAGCCATCAAGTCTAGGGGAAGAGTGTTCTAGGGGCAGAAGGAACAGCTGGTGCAAAGGCCCTGAGGTGGGATTATGCCTAGTGCATTCAAGAAACACGGAGAAGGCCAGTGTGGCTGGGGCAGAGTGGAGGGAGGGAGGCAGGCAGGAGACAAGGTTAGAGCGGTGATGGGAGCCAGATGGTGTAGGCCACGGTAATACATAAGGTTGGAGAGTGAGGGGACGGAAACAGCTAATACATGAGCTGAGAGCTAACATTTGTCAAGTGTCTACCACATGCCAGAGATATTTTTCTAAGTCCTTTACATATATTGGCACTTAATCCTCACAAAAGCCTTTGAGAATCCTATATCTGGAGGATATTTTGCAGATGCAGAAACAGACCCAGAGAGGTTGAGTAACTCGCCCGAGGTCAGACAGCTAGAACAGGGCAGAGGAGCAGGAGACCAGAGAGCCAGAGAGAAGGGCTTTGCAAGAGCAGACAGGTTTATTTGGCACACTGGATCACACAGAGGAGGAATTCATTCTGCCCGGGAGATAGGAGAACCTGAGGATCGAATAATAAAGAGTTCATCAGGTGTGAGAAGGGGGAAGGGTATGTGCGTGTCCTCAGAGATGGGAACTGGGTGAACTCACAGCGCCCATGATGCAGGGTGCCAAGCTCGTGGGCACTTTAGTCTTCATACGAAGGCCCTTCCCACAGATGTTCACGTGGCTTGCTACCTCCCCTCCTTGAGGTCTCTGCCAGCACGATACTTCCTCGGGGAACCCTCCCTGCTCACCCCATGGGAAACACCATCCCCCAGACCCTCGAGGGTCTTGCTTCTCTGTCTCACTTTATAAGGAGCTGCTCTTGTAAAGCACTGGGACCACTGCCTGCAGCCGGGCTGCCTGGGCTGGAACCTCAGGTCTGCAAACTTCCAGCTGCATAATGTGGGGCAGGTGACTGAAGTCTGCACCTATTTCCTCCTCTGGAAAATGGGAGGATCATAATAACGCCCGCCCCCACAGTGTTGCTGTGAGGATTACATGAGTTAAATGATGAAAACGGTATGTGATATACACAGTAAGGGTTGTATGACTATTTTCAAAATTCACATCATTATTCATAGTGTGCATGTAGGTGTCTAACAGGCCTCTGAGATCTCCAGAATGGACCTCCTGATCTTGCCCCAAACCCTGCTCTCCTGCTGTGCTCCCATCTCAGAGGGTCCCAGCTTCCAGACACTCAGGCCACACACCTAGAGTCACCTTTGATGGTGTCTCTCTCACTGCCCCCCCACCGCCCCACCGCCATACTGTTTGATCAGCAAGTCCCGCTCACTCTATTTCCACATTTCGTCCAGAACTCAGCCATCCCTTCCCAGTTCCACTGCAGCCGCGGCCATCACTCACTTGGACGGTCACCGTAGCCTCGTCAGACCCTCCAGCCAGTTCTCCTCACAATAACCAGAAGGATCCAGTTAAAGTCCAGGTCATGGCCTGTTGCCCCTCTGTTCACAGCCCTCATGTGGCTCTTCTCTCAGAGTCACAGTCCTGGCAGGGCCCACAAAAGCCTCACTCAGCCTGGCCCCCATAACCCCTCTCTTCTCACCTCGCTACTACTTTTTGTACCCTTACTCCTTCCTCTCTGATCTTGCCTGACTCCTTGCTCTTCCTCTGACCTGCCCTGCGCGCTCCCGCCTCAGGGTCGTTCACCCTAGCGGTGTCCTCTGCCTGGATCACCCTGTTCCCTGGGTCATCGCTGACCTGACTCGCTCACCTCATTTAGGTGTTTGCTCAGATGTCACCCGCTAGGGCCTACCTTCCCCTGACTACCCTTTTCAGAAAGAACCGCTCCTTCCCTACCTCCTTTTTTCATAGCTCTTCTCACCATCTGACTTACTCTTTGACTCATTTATCTTCTTCCTTAATTGTCTTCCCCACTGAGATGAGAATTTTTGTTTTGTTCACTGCTGTATCCCCACCCAGCCCCCAGCCCCCAGTAAGCACTCAAAAGACGGTTGCTGAATGAATGAGACAAAGAGACGTAAACACTCCTGAGTGAGGCAGATTACTAGGTCTCTTCTGAGGGGTCAGGTGGGAAATACAATAAACAAAACGTGAAACCCTGTGTGCTGTCATGGCTTGGAGCAAATGGTCAGATATTACCTTAATTAGTAGGTCCGATCACGGCTGGAAGAGGATCTGGTAACATTGCCCGTCTTGGCCACCAGGAGTCACACTGGACTCTTTGTGCCTCTGAGACGAGCAGGTCTTTGAAGTCAACTCAGTAAAGCCTCTGATGACAGGACTCTCAAATGTGGACACTTTCATGGCTTTGTGACTTGTATAATGGCCTAAAACTGTGTCCGCCCAGTGAACTTCAAAAGAGCTCAGACAAGAGAGACTCATGCCGATCATATTCTGTATTTCATTACAGATTAAAGAATGAAGGATGGTTCTTTAAAACCTGGTTTGGAAGGTCTTATTCTTAACCCAACAGTCCCAGCCCGTGAACAGTCGATTGATGAAAGCTTGTTCCTTAAGGAATAGGAAGCTCTGTGTTCATTTCCAGTTCACCCTCCGATTCAGCGAAGAGGGCAGTTTTGGGGTTGGGGGGTGGGGACGTGCTGAGGGAACAACGTCAGAGCAGTTAGCCTAACAGTTTACATGCTTAGATAACGGGAATCTGACTGCATGGGGTCCAAATCCTGGCTGTGCCACTTGGACTCCATGGCCCATAGGATGTCATCTGGACATTTTGTATCTTGGCTCCCTCCTCTGTAAATTAGCGATGATAAAGAGCGCCTACTTTCCCAGGGTTGTGATGAAAGATACATGAGTCAGTACCTATAAAAATAGCAGTATAGGTCTGCATGCCCTTATCCAAAACCCTTGGAGCCAGATGTGTTTCAGAATTTCAGATTTTTCAGATTTTAGAAAGGTAACAAGGTGCACATACAAAATGTTACATAACGCCCTCAGTAATCAGCCACATTCAGATTTCTGTAGCAGAATGTAGGAACAGTCAGCACTAAGTGAGGATCACTAAAGACTGGAAAGGACTTCATTGATTTCCAATCTGGTTTTGCTGCCAAAGGGTGATAAAGACGTTTTCTGGGTTTTGGGGTTTTTTGGTTGTGTGTGTGTGTGTGTTTTTTTTTAAGATTTATTTATTTGAGAGAGCAAGCTCACACGTGCACAGAGGGCAGGGCAGAGGGAGAAGAAGAGTGAGAATCCCCAAGCAGACTCTGCACTGAGCCCAGAGCCCAGTGCAGGGCTGGATCCCATGACCCTGAGATCATGACCTGAGCCAAAACCAAGCGTCAGCTGCTTGTCTGACTGTACCACCTGGGCACCCCAAGAAATTTTCTGTTTTTAGAGTTTGGGGGATTTTGGAATAGCAGATAAGGAATTATGAACAAATTGGAAACTAGATTCTATTAAAAGCTTATCATACTCCAAGCATGTGATACCTAATCTGTAGAATAACTCTGTGAACTTGGTATTATTAGTATCCCTATTTTACAGGTGAGCATGTTATTATCCCTATTTTAAATATGGGAAAGTTGAGGCACAAAGAAGCTAAAGAATATGCCCAGGGTCAGGGCCCCTGGGTGATTAAATCCATTAAGCGTCTGCCTTGCGGCTCAGGTCATGATTGTAGGGTCCTGGGATCGAGCCCCGCATTGGGCTCCCTGCTCAGCGGGAAGCCTGCTTCTCCCTCTCCAACTCCCCGTGTTTGTGTTCCCTCTCTCGCTGTCTCTCTCTGTCAAATAAATAAATAAAATCTTTGAAAAAAAAAAAAAAAGAGAGAATATGCCTAGGGCCACACTGCTAATAAGTAGCAGAACGAGGATTCCAGTCCTGGCAGTCTGGTTCTAGAGCCTGAGTGATTGTCTGGTAGGCCATATTGCCTGATTGGAACAATACCAGCCAAGCATTATGAACTCAGCAAATGTTAGTTATTGCTGTTACCAAGAAGGAGGACCCAAAGGGACAGTAACAGGCCGAAGGAGTGCAAAGTTGACAGAAGAAAGCAGGCATTGAGTTTCAGGAAAGCCTCAGAAAGGCCAGGCTCCTGTGGCTGGGACTGGAATGATGGCTGGGACTGGAACGATGAGGAAGACTTCTAGAGTGAAGAGAGCAGCCCCACAAGAAACAGGTTTTGCAAGGGGCTGGCGGAACCTCCTGGAAAACTTGATATTTAATGTGGCAGAGGTTGCAAATGAAAACGTTCAGGTGAGGGAAACTATGCTAGTTTTCTACAACTGCTATAACAAATTATTGCAAATAGAACTGCTTAAAGCAATGCAAATTATTATCTTGGCACTCCAGAGGTCAGAAGTCCAGCCCAGCCTCACCAGGCTGACACCCAGGTATGGGCGGGGCTGCATTCCTTTCTGGAGGCTCCAGGGCAGGATCTGGTTCCTGCTCATGCAAGCTGCTGGCAGTATTCAGTTTGTTGAGGTTATAAGATTAAGGTCCTTGTTTCCTTACTGATAATCAGCTGAAGGTCGTTCCTACCTTTTTGAAGCCACCATATTCCCCCAGCTTGAGCCTCATTCTTCCATCTTCAAAGCCAGTAAATGGCAGGTCAAGTCTCTCTCATGCTTTGAATCTCTCCTGCCTCTTCTGTCATTGCAGCTCTTGGAGCTCTCTTTCTGCCTCTTGCTTTTTTTAGTAAGAGTTCCTGTGATTAGATTCAGCTCACTCACATCATCCAGAACAATCTCCCTAAGGTCCGTACAGTAGTACCCCCCCATCCACAGCTTTGCTTTCCGTGGTTTCAGTTACCCGCAGTCAAGCAGAAGATGGTCCTCCTGACCTGTCATCAGAAGGTCAGTGGTAGCCTAACACTGTGTCTCAGTGCCTACGTTATTACCTCATCTCGTTATATGAGTATTTAATCATCTCACATCATCACAAAGAGGAGGGTGGGTACAGAACAATGAGATATTGGGAGAGCACATTCACAGAACTTTATTCTAGTATATTGCCATCATTGTTCTATTTTAGTATTAGTTATTGTTAATCTATTATTGTGCCTGATTTATAAATTACACTTTATTGTGTGTATATGTATAGGAAGAAACATAGTATATATAGGGTTTGGTACTGTCCACAGTTTCAGGCATCCACTGGGGGTCTTGAAACGTATCCCCTGCAGATATGAGGAAACTACAGGAACTTTAAGTTCACCTGCAAAGTTCTTTTTGCCATGGACATAACATATCATAGGTTCCAGGGATTAGGATGTGGACGTTTCTGAGAGGCCATTATTTTGCCTACCACAGTGTGACCTCTGGCCCCCCAAAATTCACGTTTGTCTCACATGCAAACTACATTCACACCATCCTCTTGTCCCCAGAAGTCTCCTTCCATGATGGGGAGTCATCCAAAGCCAGGCTGAGGGCACATAGAATTTAGTCTGAGGGTGTTTAGGGAATGATGTTGCTTTGGGAACAGAAGCGGAGACAAGATGGAAAGAAAGGACTCCTCCTCCTGTTGACCTTTGCCACCTCCTGTGTTCACAGCCTCTCAGCTCTGAGCTGTCTGCCCTCCAGGTACCCCTGGGATGGCGTGAGCACTCCGCCAGCGATGGACCCCTCTGTGACGCTGTGGCAGTTTCTGCTGCAGCTGCTGAGAGAGCAGGGAAACGGCCACATCATCTCGTGGACCTCACGGGATGGCGGTGAGTTCAAGCTGGTGGATGCTGAGGAGGTGGCCCGGCTGTGGGGGCTGCGTAAGAACAAGACCAACATGAATTACGACAAGCTCAGCCGGGCCCTGCGTTACTACTATGACAAGGTAAGGCCTCTGGGACTGGGACTGGAAGCTGCCAACATTTATATCGGTTATTTCATTTTCCTGTCTTAATTGTCATAGCTATAACTTTGAAAACAGAGTTTGCTATTTTTTACCCTACCCTGTCATACTCTCAGATGAATGTTGGGCACCCCAAATATTTATCTCAGGTATTTTCTTTTTCTTTTCTTTTCTTAATTTATTTGAAAGAAAGAGAGTAAGTGAGAGAAAGAGCATGAGCAGGGGGAGGGGGAGAAGCAGACTTCCCCATTGAGCAGGGAGCCTGACACGGGGCTCGATCCCAGGACCCTGGGATCTTGACCGGAGTCGAAGGCAGTCGCTTAGCCAACTGAGCCACCCAGGCACCCCAGTCTAAGGTATTTTCTCTGTCTTACTGCTTTAAGGCTGAAACCTTCATAGTAATACTAATACCCCTACTCACCCCTTTTCTGAGGTCCCCAAGTTCATGCTGTACCACTACCCCCCACACAACGTTTCATTTTCTTGCCGTATTCCTATAGCTAAAAATTTGGAAAACAGTATAATAATGACTTCCTTATCCTGTCTCCTGGAACTGGACCAGTCCTGGACTCCTCAGTTATTTCATAATCTGCTCTTGTTCCAGAATAAGAACTCCAGAATAATCTTATTCCTGGCTTCATTACGTCCATGGCAATATTATACTAACTTTTCCTTATCTCATCCTCTAGGATAGTGAACACTTTTGTCAGTTCTTTTCTTCTCAGACCTCCAGAACAACATGTATAATGCCAGCTCCACACTCCATTCTCATGCATTCCCAAAGCAACACTGGCCCACCCCACCCCAGCTTTTATTATTGTATCCTCTTATGCCTATAGCTAAAATTTTACATTTTCCTCATCCTCTCAGATTCTCAGACAAGTGCTGGATTTCCTATCCCTCACAATAGACCAGTTATTTCATTTTCTTCTTTATCCGAAACTTCCAAAGCAATATTAATTAATATTCCTTTTTCATTCATTTTCTGAGAAACAAAAACCCACCCTGTGACATACCTGACCAGCATTAAGATGTTTCTAGGGTGCCCTGGTGCACCCCCAGATGCCTTTTGTCCCCCAGAACAGTCCTGGTCCTATGCTGCACACCATAAATCATCATAGCATTTATTCCATTCTCATATTTTGTTCCTTTAGCTGAAACCACCAAAACAATATTGAGGCCACCTCATTCTGTGCCCTGAGACCACCGCAGCATTCCTGAGACCCTCCAGACCTATCCTGAAATATCTCAGACATGGTCTGCGATCTACCCAGCCAGCCTTGAGATTCCCTCCAGTGCTTATACCAGTATTTTAATGCTCCTGTCTGGTTGCTGTCAGTCACTTCATTTTCTAATTGCCTTAGCTTAAACCTGTACCGCAATATTTTTTAACATTTTGAAGATGTTATTTCTTTATTGAGAGAGTGAGCAAGTGAGAGGGGGAGAGAGAGAGAGAGAGCGAGCCCATGAGCGGGGTGGGGGGCAGAGAGAGAGGAGGAAGCCAGCTCCCTACTGAGCAGAGAGCCCAATGCAGGGCTCGATCCCCAGACCCCGGGATCATGACCTGAGCCACCCAGGCACCCCTTAAACCTGTACCACAGTATTAAGAATGAGGCTCCTCAGTTACAGCTAAGTCCAGAAATAAATTATGACAGTTCAGAAAAAGCCCCAAAACAAAAAAGAATGAGGCTCTTCAGCCTGTCCTCCCTAGTGACCTTGCCTGGTTCTACCTCTCTATCGATAGCTTTAAATAATCCTCTTTATTAATAATTCACTGCTACATTCTTCTCTATTAATTTAGTCTCTTCCAGTATTTACATCAGTTACTTCATTTTCCTGTCTTACTGCATCAGCCACACTCCCCAGCTGTCCTGGCAGCTACTCCCAAGGCCTGGCCCTGTTAGCCCACAGACTCTCCCGGTTCCGGGAGCCAGGAGAAAAGCCTGTTCCTGCACTGGCTCCCCTAGGTGGGGCCTCTTGTGGAGAGGTGCTACAGGGTGGGGGGGTGTGTCTCTGAGGAGGGAGTGAGGGGACTGAACAGATGGAGATGAAAAGTGACGGGAAGACATGGAGAGGGATGGATGGGAAGGAGACATGGAGGGAAGGGCAGTAGACTAAAGAAAGAGTTGTGGAAGGGAGAAGAGGAAAGGGGAGAAACTGGGAAAACTACAAGAGAGGGGAATCACAATGGGCAAGAGAGGTAGAAACAGAAGGAGGGGAAGAGAGGAGCCCCCAAATTGGGAAAGACGTGGGTGAGAAGTGGGCTGGGGGGGTGCCTACTTGGGGGCAGATGTGTTAGTGGAATGGTGTATATGTAAAAAGCCAGGAGGGGGCAAGAAAGACCCTAGGAGACACCCCTGCGCCCCCTCTTCCGTACCTTCCCTCCACTGCGGCCCTCTCAGAATTCTAAGGCCCTTTATCCTGTCTCCTCCCTTCCCAGAACATCATCCGCAAAGTGAGCGGCCAGAAGTTTGTCTACAAGTTTGTGTCCTACCCTGAAGTCGCGAGGTGCTCCACTGAGGACTGCCCGCCCCAGCCCGAGGTGTCTGTCACCTCTACTGTGGCAAATGTGGCCACCACTGCTGTACATGCTGCCCCCGGGGACACAGCCTCTGGGAAACCAGGCACACCCAAGGGTGCAGGAATGGCAGGCCCCGGGGGCTTGGCGCGCAGCAGCCGGAATGAGTACATGCGCTCGGGCCTCTACTCCACCTTCACCATCCAGTCCTTGCAGCCACAGCCGCCCCCTCATCCTCGGCCTGCCTCCGTGCTCCCCAACACCGCCCCTTCGGGAGCAGCAGTGCCCCCGTCTGGGAGCAGGAGCACTAGTCCCAGCCCCTTGGAGGCCTGCCTGGAGGCGGAGGAGGCTGGCCTCCCTCTGCAGGTAAGGACTGGAAGATGGAAATTCAGTAGGAGGGCGGGTATACAATTCCCAGATGAGGAGGGCTGCTGGCAGAAGGGACATAGACATTCTATTTAGATACCATGGAAGGAGGGACACACAAGTTCCCTGGGAGAAAGAGTTGGGGAGGAGAGCCATGCAAGTAATAAGAACGTATTTGTTTAATGCATAGGTTCTCTCAGTTTAGCATTCATCAGAATCACCTGGAGGGCTTTTGAAACGACAGATTTCTGGGGCCCATCCACCCCCCCCTAGAGTTTCTGATTCTGTGGATCAGGGGACTAGCACGAGAATTTTTTTTTAAAACTAGTTTCCAGATGAGGCACATGCTGCTAGTCCCTAAAGCAAAATTTTGAGAACCATGGCTTTCATGAATGAGGGCAGTATCCCCAGGAGGCCACCCTTAGGGGAAGCCCTGTCCCGCAGAGAGAAGCCTCCCCAGAAGCAGCCTCACATCCTCGGCAAAGCGTCACGTCCTGCTGGTGGACCTGTCTTGATGTGTAGTCATGCCCCGCCCCGTACGAAGGACAAGTCCTTCTAAGACAAGTCCTTGGCTTCACTAGCCCAGCAATCCTTATGCGCCCCCTCTGCCCGCCCCCTCCTCCTCTCCCAGGTCATCCTGACCCCACCCGAGGCCCAGAATCCTAAATCAGAAGAGCTGAATGTGGAGCCCGGGTCGGGCAGGTCACTGCCCCCAGAAGTGAAAGTGGACGGGCCCAAGGAAGAGTTGGAACCCGCAGTCGGTGGGGAGGCGGGGTTTGTGCAGGAAGCCGCTAAGGCCGGGCCGGAAGTCCCTCCTGCGGAGGGCGTGCCAGCCCGGCTGCCCGCGGTCGTCATGGAGACTGCAGCGCCGGTGGGCGGCCTCCCGGCTTCCACTGCTTCCAGCACAGAGATTGCCCAGCCTCAGAAGGGCCGGAAGCCCCGGGACCTGGAGCTTCCACTCAGCCCCAGCTTGCTGGGTGGGCCAGGACCCGAACGGACTCCAGGATCGGGAACTGGCTCTGGGCTGCAGGCGCCGGGGCCAGCGCTGACCCCGTCCCTGCTACCTACGCACACATTGGTGAGTGCCTGTGAAGGGGTGGGGCGGGCAAGGGAGGAGCTAGACTGCAAGGGCCAGTGCTGTCATCTCTGGGTGAGCGGGAGGGTGGAGCCTCCGAGTGCCATTGGCTGGAGGGACAGGGCTTGATTAACGGGGGAGGGCGAGCTGGTCTCTGGTGCCCTGGTGCCGGGGCAAAGGGTGGACTTTTGGAATGATGGGCAGGTCTGGGTGGTTTTGTGGGCGGGGACCGAGAGGCCTTGGGCAGGGCAAAACTGTTCTCTAGGTTGGGGCATGGCTTGGGGATCCTGCGTGGGGCTTTTGGGGCTGGGATTTCCTTAGTGGGTTTCCTGTGAGGTGTATGGGTTGGTGGGATGTAAGAGTTGGAGGCAGATCCTAAGCTGATGGGATGGTGCCGTGTGAGGTTTGAGAACAACATGCGGATGGGGTCTTGTAGGTGGTCTCGCCCAGTGAAGCTGGAGGTGGGCTCTCAGGAGCTAGGAGGGGTTGTCTGTAAAACTGGAGAGGTGTCATGGGCTTGATCTTAGTAGTCAGGGGGTAAGCCTGTACACTTTGGGAGGGTGAGCTCAGAAGGCTGAGTGGGAAATCTGGTGGGACTGGAGCCAAGTTCCTTCCATCTTCCCACACCTGCTCTATACTCACCTGAGCTCCAACCACCCCTTCCCCACAGACCCCGGTGCTGCTGACGCCCAGCTCGCTGCCCCCCAGCATTCACTTCTGGAGCACCCTGAGTCCCATTGCACCCCGTAGCCCAGCCAAGCTCTCCTTCCAGGTAGGATCCCCTTCCCCCATGTCGAAGAGGGTGAGAGACCCCAGCATGGCCCCCATGCGTGATCTTTCCCTATTTCTGTCCCCAGTTTCCGTCCAGTGGCAGCGCCCAGGTGCACATCCCTTCCATCAGCGTGGATGGCCTCTCAACCCCCGTGGTGCTCTCCCCAGGGCCCCAGAAGCCATGATTACCACCACCACCACCACCCCCTTCTGGGGTCACTCCATCCATGGCCCTGAACTTCTCTCCAGCCAGCCGTCTCAAGGAGAAACATAGTTCAGCTGACAGACTTGTGCTCTAGTTGTGGTGGGGTAGGGATTCTTAGGAAAGATCTTTTAGTAACCCTTCCACAGGAAACATACAACTTCTCTCTTCTTGGTCAGTTCCCCAGTGGCCGCCCTTACACGTCTCCTACAGCAGTGGTGGGGACGGTTTATTTATTTATTTTTTGAAGGCCACTGAGAGGAGCCTGGCCCAACCCTTTTGAGGGGTTGGTGAGGACATCTCCCCCATCTCCACATTTTCTCCCAAGATGAGACAATCGGGGTCTGGCTTGAGAAGGACCTTTCTTTATTTATTTCTCAGCCGGCCCTTGGAAAGCTGAGGGAGCCCTGTCTCCATTTTGGGATGTGAGTGGAAAAGGTAGCTTGTTGTTGTTGTTTATTATTCCTGGCCACACCCAATGGCCCAGGAAGAATTTGTGCCATTCAGCAGTTTGGGAATCTTGGCCAAGGAAAGACTCACACCCTTGAAGTAGGAATTTCCACCCCCCCAGCCTTTCTCTCAGATACCACCTTTTCGGCCGGGGGAGGAATGCCCCTTTTGTTCTCCTCCCCCGAGAAGCCATTCCTGTGTCTGCCAAACTCCTGGGGTCCTGCCTGTTACCTCCCAATGGAGGGTTTTTTTGGGGAGTTGGTTCCCGTCTGGGGGACCCCTCCAGCCAGTACTCCAGGTCTCCTTGTCCCCCACCCCTTGCCATTTTGATAGTATAATCTATTTTTAAACAGGGCTTTTCAATAGGGGAGAGGAGAGCATCTCTTCCTATATCTGAGATGGGGTGGGTGGGAAGGAAGGGATTGGGGGGGGTCTTCCTGCCACCCCCAAGTGTTTATTTTTGATACCAAACGTGTATTTTCAACTCCCTCCCTCCCAGCCCCCCAATTTCCTGCGGGCGGGTACAAAGGACCCTTTAAGTGTCCCTGGAGTTGGGAGGGAGGAATGGGGGACATAAATCCTGTCCTATCTGAATTCCAGGCTGGAGAGGGTGGGTTCGCAGGACTCCTGGGCTCACCTCCTGTCAGCACCGGACCAGCCCGGGCCTGGGGACCTGGGGGTTGGTGATTTGGGGGACGGTGCTACACCTGTCTCCACTGTTTGTTTTACTTCCCCAAAAATGGATCTTTTTTTTTCTAAGAGTCCCAGAGAATGGGGAATTGTTCCTGTAAATATATATTTTTAAAGGTGATGCTGGAGGCTGCTAGCCTTTTTTCCCCTGAAGCCATTGGGACTGACTGTGACAGGCGTGAGCTTCTGTGAAAGGCAGTGAGGGTGTGAAATTGACCGTGAGAGAGAGCGTGATGGCGTGCATGGGAGACTGCAGACTGGTAGCCCCAGCGTGCAAAGAAGAGAGAAGGTGTGGAAAGCTACGATCGCGTGTGCGTGTGTGTGTGTGTGAAGTCACGTGTGTTTGTGAGTGGCAGCTGTAACCACAAATGACACCAGGCCTATGTAAGAAATGATGGCCCTGTGCCCGAAAATCACTGTGAGACCGAGTGCCGATTAAGGTTCAAGAGTCTGGAGGTACGCGGGATGTCCCGTTTAGGCACAGGCAGCGGGAACAGCACCCCCGACACCGTCTGACAGGCTGATGGTGGTGAGCAAGACAGACTGAGTGACCAGAACAACATGTGAGCCCGTACGGGCATGAAGGTGTGGTGGAGACAGATGGTCAGGGACCGAGTGCCAGCGAGAAGGTTGCCTATAAATAAGCAGGTGACTGCGTTTGGGAGATGGATGGTGTGTGAAACTTCGTGCGAGGCTGTTGTAGTGACTGAGGTCCTAGAAGCCTTGTGGAAAAGAGCTGTTTGTGTGAGAGAAAATGGCTGTGAGGCCCAAAATCCAAGAATGCGTGACCGTGCGTGTGAACACCGTTCATGTGAGACTGGCAAAGACTGTGTGAGAAACTGAAGAAAAATTGGCTCTGACAGGGGGAGCATGAGGCTGTAAGCGTGTGTGTGTGTGTGTGTATGTATACCTGAGACCAGTGGCAGATTGGTTACAGTTACTACCCCAGTCTGGCCCAGAGGTTCAGGGACTGGGACAGCATGAGAGAAAAGGATGGCAAGGCCGAGTGACCGAAACAGTATGAGAGACCACATAAGTGTCTGAGTGAGAGCCAAGGAGGAGCGTGATGCCACGTGAGAGAAGAACCAAGGGCCGAGCAGTGTGGGCACGTGTGCAGGTATGCAAAACATGTCATGAGGGACTTCAGTGGGACGCCTTATGTGTGGGAAGAACAGAGGAGACAAGACCCTGGGATCGGGGGGATTGGTGTGTGGGAGAAGTGGGTGAGGCCCTAGTCGTGTTCAAGTGTTGCTGCTGAGGAAACGATGGTATAAAGGACCAAGGCCAGCCGGAAAGACTGTGTGACACTTTGAGAGCCTCAGAGCACTTGGGAATTAGTGACCACAGATGGCAGAGGCTGACTGAGGAAAAGTGACGACGATGGTGAATGGGCGACCGAGGCAGTGGCTGAGAGATTGGTTGTGTGGGGGTGTGTGTGAACGTCTCTGCAAGACACTTAGAGGCCATAAATGAGGCCTGGGTGTGCTGCGCGCCATTTGAGATGTGAGATGAGGTGACTGAAGCAGCGTCTGAGGCGCTGTGTGATGGTGTGTGCGTGTGCATCTTAGCTTCCACCAGGGGCTGTGGGTGTGCGAGATGGGGGCCTGGGTGAGAAGGAGTAGGAGAGGTGGTGATTGAGTTCGTGTGCGAGAAAGTTCCCGAGAGACCAGCAGGGGCTGTAAATCAGGGACTGAGTGGTAAAAACATCTAAAGGCGTGACTGCATTTGTGTGCATGTAAGAAACTGGTAAGAGATGTTGGTGATCGTGGCTGAATGAGGGAGGCTGTTAAGACGTGAGTGTGTGTGTGTGACACTATTAGTAGGAGACCAGGAATCCATGACAGAAAATGACCATGAGCGTGTGACTGAGGGCCAGTCCAAGAGGCTGTGGGACTGAGTATGTATGTGAGCCTGTTCCTAAGCCTCCTGGTAGAGGCTGCAGGTCCAGAATTGTGTGTGTAACTGTGTTAAGGAAGAAAAGTAAGAGAAAATGACCAAGACCAAATGAGACTGTATGAGAGACCACAGACCGAATGTGCCAGGCATGGAAAAAAAGCCACTTCCTCCATTGGTCTCTCCTCCTCCATCCCCTGGACTGTCCTCTCCCAGTTCTCCAAAATTTGAAATTCTGGAGTTTCCCAGGGCTTCACCTAGGATTCTCTTCCCGGTCCAGTCCCAGCACTTGAGACACAACTTAATCCCCCCACCGGTGATGCCCACATTTTTTACCTCCAACCCAGACTCTTCTTTGCCGCACGCATCGGAATCTCTCTAGAATTTTGACGAGTGGTTTATCTGTCCAGCGCTTGTTTATTGAGCCTGGCGGACCCGGCAGTTACCAAACCAGACACAAACCCCTGCCCTTTGGCAAGCAGGTGTTTTAGTGAGGCCAGTGGACAAGAAACAGATAAGTATGTCATCATCGGTGCAGTAATTTCATGAGAAAAGACTTGGCTCATGCTGTTTAGATAAGAAAGCTGTAGTCATTTCATTGCGCAAGCATAGGGAAAGAAAGCGCCAACGGTTCTCTTCCCACGGGGAGTTCTCGGGGTACACCATTTAGGCGCAAAGGAAGTATTGATTATAACATTATTACCGGGGCAACCAGCAATTAGAAAAAACAGCCAACCGGAATCACAGGTTTCTGGGGGAATTTCTTTCCACAGGATAACACAGCGCTGAGGCCTAAAGTCTTGGAATCTTAACAAAGCCCCTTTGTTCAAAGCGTACTTTCAAAAAACACGCCTGTCTGATCAGGAAACAGTACATGTGTAATGGATACAGATGTCAACACACCTTATCGCCCCATAACGACAGACCAACATTCTTGAAAAAATTCTCTTTTAACAACCTGACCAAATCAAAGTCTATCACTCTGGGCTAATTTGCAGAACAGTACCTCACCCTCCACGAATGCAGAGGAAACAAGACCTTGCCTTCATAACTTTCTTTGACTCCTTTTTGTTCATTAAAGAGATTCCTGGTTTTAAAGTGAGCTCTGGAGTTCCACTCATCAGGGCTAATAAGAAACAAGAAAAGAGGGGGCTCCTGGCCGGCTCAGTCGGAAGAGCGTGCAACTCTGGATCTCGGGGGTTGTGAGTTCGAGACCTATGTTTGGTGTAGAGATTACTTTTTTAAAAAAGGAAAAAAAGAAAAGAGTGGGTCCATGGAGCTTGGTTTTACCTGCACGGAAAGGGGATAAAGAGGACTGAACAGTAAAAGAAGGAGCACTTAGCATCATCTTTACAGATGACGTCTACGAAGAATAAGAGGTGTTGGTGGCTAGAATGGCTCTTGAAGTGTGTCTCCCAGACCAGCAGCGGCAGCGTCCCCTAGGAGCCTGTTAGAAATCTTCAGGAAAAAAAAAAAAAAGAAAAGAAAGAAATGTACATTCTCGTGTCGCGCCCCAGACCTACAGAATCAGAAGCGGGGGTCGGGGGCAGCACTCTGTGATTGGACATACCTTCCAGATGATTCTGAGGCACACTAAGGTTTGAGAGCCCCTGCACTACAGAGTGACAGGGGTCCCATACAAAAAGGGTAGCTGGGGAAGGCCTCGAGAGAGGGGACATTCTCTGTCTGTCTCTTTTAGAGCATAAGCCCCTTGAGGGCCAGGATTTCCGACCCTCTTACCCTCTGCTCGGTCCAGTGCCAGGAACAGCGTCTGACACCCAGTAGGGGCCTAGCAAGTGTTGAATGAAGGTATTTAACACACAGCACCTACTGCATGCCAGGCACTGTTCTGAGGACTTTTAAAAAACTTTAAACTCCCAATCTTTGCAACGAACTCTGTGCTGTAGGCTGGGGTAGGGGGGGGTTGTCCCTATCCCCAGTTACTCTGAAAGAACACAGCCAAGCTGATTCCCTCCCCCAGGCCAGTGGGAGGGGGTGTTCCCAGCTGGAGCCCTGGGACAGCCGATATCCCCAATTCACTCTCAAACCCTCTCCCCCACACTCTTTTCAGTTCCCCTTCTCACTTCCCCTGCTGCTGACCTCCCCTGCCCTTGCTGACCGCAGTCAACCTCACTTTCAGGAAAGGGGATGAAGCAGTGCCTGCCCCACTCAGTCAGGAGCACCGCACTGAGCTCCTTTCACCCTTGTGAGGTTGACCCCGTCATTGTGGTAGAGACCGCATTTCTGGGGTGGGGGGCGGGTTGAGGCTCAGTGAGGTTCAAGCGACTTGCCCAAGGTCACACAGCTGGGACGTTTATGCTCCATCTCCTCTCAGTAAGAATGTGCCCAGGGAACACTGATTGAGTGCTAAAGATTGGGTGGGTAGGGGATACAGTGACAAGCAAGATCGGACCAGGAGTGAGACAGGAAGTTGGTAGGAAGCAGGAGGCTACAGGGCAAAGGTGCCAGGAGACAAGTCGGAACTGCTAGGACCCTGCATGGCGCCCTCTGCACCGCCTCCCCCTGCCCCCTCCACTCCCATCTGCCCTTTACCCGCCCACTTCCTCCTGGTCCAGTTCCTCTTTGCCACGGATCCCAGAGCCAGGTCAGCCTGTACAAAGCCAGGCCTCCTCCCCGGTAGGGTGGCAGTGCTCGACATGGGCATCCAGGGACGCGTTCCTCAGCTGCTGCTGCTCATCCTGCTGCCCGCCACAGGTGAGTGCAGGAGGGTCCAGCTGGCCCGCAGGGGCGCCGGGTCCCATCACACCACTGACTGTGCCCCCCACCCTATTCCAGGCTCAGCCACCGTATTCTGCTACACCAAGTATGAGGAGTCCTCCGGCATGTGCAAGGGCCTCCTGGGGGGAGGTGTCAGTGTGAAAGACTGCTGTCTCAACCCTGCCTATGGCTTCCAGGAGCCCGGCAGCAAGCTTTGTCAGGCATGCAGGTGAGGGGGAGCCTGGGGTACAAAGGCCACCCAGAATTGGGCCCTCTCCTTCTCTGGAGTTTCCAAGGGTGACTCCAAGGCTCCGATTGCGACCAGAGCTTGGCGTTTCTCAGCCTTGGCTCTACTGACATTGAGGGCCAGAAAATTCTTTGTTGTGGGGGCCTGACCTGTGCTTTGCAAAGCCGGTGTTTTGCAGCATCCCTGGCCTCCCATTAGATGCCAGGAGCAACTCCCCCCAACCGATGGTGACAGCCAAAATCCTCCAGATATTGTC